AGAGACAGGAGTTTCACACACACACATATATATATATAGGTAGAGAGATAGGTACATATATATATATATACTGTACACATCTACACAGTTTTTCAGAAGATCGTGGGTCCCGGGCTGCTAACGCATCATGCTGCAGACTTTCGCAAGTTTTTGAGGCGCGAGGCAACCTCGCATCCCAAACATGGCGACAGTACTGCTTTTGTCGGGGCAGGTTGCCGATGGCAACATGCGACTGGGACCGGCGCAAACTGCCCCAAAGAGAATAGGAGAACAGCAACGCCGGCAATATGGCAAAGTTCACAGTAAGAAGAATTACATGCCACTAACCAATAGCTGTAACCATGCTTGCATCAGCTCCCACCGAGGAAGATGACCTACACAAAGACAATTGCAACGGATATTTCACAGTGCCACACGCCCCCGACAACACCACAGCACCATGCCACACTGGACCGGGGAAGACAAAGGGGGGGGGGGGGGGGGGGGTAGAGGGGACCAGGACCAAGGGCTCAGGCCTTGGATCATGGATCTACCTGTCTACGTATACCTATCACCTTTCCACCTATCCCCCCAAACCCTACCTGCCTACCTACATACATACGTGCATGTGTGTGTATATAAACGTGCATATGTACGTATGAACACGTGCGTATATCTACATCTGTATTATACGAAAGTTGGCGCATAATTATTGCCGATGTATATGTGTATATGTAGAGAAACATGCATATGCATATATATATATATGGGTATAGTATGTTTAAGTGCCCCCACTTCTTGGGGTTGCCGACATTGTTCAAACTGATGTTCAATGCCATGGAACCTGGCTCAGGGTGCCTCCAAGGAACAGTAGATAAATTCAGATAAAGCAATGGACTTCAACTCCTTTTGCAAAGGGGTCAAGGAGGGCTGGTTTGCATCTTCATCTGCATTCCAGAAGCATGTCATGTATGGCAAACTTGATACGGGCGATCTAGATGGTTCATAATCTTTGAGAGCAGCATGCGTCTACGTGCACTTTGGTTGGCTTCGCACCTGGAAGTGCTCCAAATGCAAAGCATCAACCATGCTGCAACAAGGTCGTTCCGTCAAAGAGCTTCTTTGGGTATGTAGTCGTAATCAGAGTCACAAACATTTCCGGAAGTCTGCAGAAATACCAGCTTTGCCTTGTCTGAGAACTGGGAGTTGGATGTCCTTTCTGCACTTTCTTGTCATGCATGAAAGTTCCAATGGGGGTTCTTTTGGAAGCTTTCGCAACTGCAAGCAAAAGCTGCAGCTGGAAGCCGGTACTCCTCTAAGACGTGAGGCAGACAAAGAGTGTTGCACAAGTTGTCATCATTATCATCATCATCATCACCATCATCATATACATGACCGTGAAGACGATGATGATGTTAGTGATGATGATTCTTGGAAAAATAATGGTGATGATTGCGATGATGATTACAATGACGATGATGATGATGGTGATCGAGAGATGATGATTATACTGCTGACAATGATTATAATACTGATGCTGACGATCACAAACATACACACAAAGACATAATACCCTGTAAGATACATGGTGCCCGAACACACTGGGGGCACTTAAACATACTATACTGAGAGATAGATGGATATATATATTTATTTATTTATATATTTAT